AAAATGATCAGTAGCATTATATTCTTTGGTATCAGCATGTGTTGGGATGCAACCACTGGCAAAAATTATCCTGTAACATTTGACAGAGATGCAAAACTGTAAAATACATATAGTATTACACCAGGGGCCTTCAAACTTGACAGCTTTAAGACTTGTGGACCTCAACTCCCAGAATTCCTCCTCCAGTCATGTTAGCTCAGGAATTCTGGGAGTTGAAGTCCACAAGTCTTAAACTTGCCAAGTTTGAAGACCCTTGTATTACACTGTTATTCTGATTAAAAATAAAATAGAGGTGGAAATCTGTTACTCTCTGGATCTTAACCATTATATATTAATTTTTAAAAATGTGGTATTGACTACAATGTGTGTAGGTATTATTGACATCTTCTCCTTTCTCCTCCAATCCACACCATCAGATGAACCTTCTCCTCCCAGAGACAGAGGACCTTTCGATGGCTCTCCAGGTGCTTTGCCATCTTGCAAGTTCTTTCGCAATTGGCTGGGAAATTGCTCAGGCTTAGACGATCCTAATTTTGGTTATGAAGATGGAAAACCATGTCTCATCATCAAACTCAACAGAGTCCTGGGTTACATACCTAAGGCAAGTATTACATCTCTTTTTATAAGATGTGAGATAAATGTAGGTAACATGATTTCATAGGAAAATAAAGTATCTCAGCTTGGACAAGCTTATTTCTTTCTTTCACTCAACTGAGAACTATTCATCTAACCCATGAAAGCAATAAGAACTTGAAGAAGTTGGAAATCTTGATTAATAAAATGGTGGTGATGCCATACACTATTTTCACTTATCAGTCTCTTAACAAAAAGGAAGTACCTCTGGAAGTAATGGCACCTATAGTAGTCTTATTTGATATTTTTACAAATTTTAATATGTGCTGTAATGCAAACAGATACTCAGTTAAAACAAAATCAGCATATTTTGAGAAGGAAGGAATAATTGATTTCATCCTAAGGCCATGTAAAGACATTGGGCTGGATCTAAATTTAGCCTTGGTCTGTTATTTTTATTATATTATATGCTACAGAATGTTCTGCGTGGGGTGATTAAAATTGTAATCCAGAATAGAAAAGATATGCATATATGGGAGCAATATATTGGTGTCAGTTTTCGCAGCTGGTATTTGTAGAGAAATATTGGGATTTAAATGTCCATGGTTTAGAGCAGGGGTGTCAAATTCGCATCATCATGGCGGTGTCATGTGATGTATTGGGACTTTTTCCCCCTTCGCTAAACTGGGCAGGGGTGGGGCCAGTACTGACACATCCAGCCTACGGGCCGCAAGTTTGACACCCCTGGTCTAGAGGTTTCCTGATATTTCATTGACTATACAGATCACCTGGCCTCTGATGATACCATCAAAGTTACTAATGAAAGATCAAAAAATCTGATGTCTAGACCACGGTCACTAAACCCTGAAGCCCAACATTGCCCAACTGCTGGGTGTTTCAGCTAAAACCATCCTTAGTCTTGATCATTTGATTTCTTCTTTTTCAAATGCCCTCCTACCCCAATTTTCTGATAGAAGTTAGAGCTACCTGTGTAGAACAAAAGATTAGCAGGTTTGGCCACAGAATAGCAGTGATTAGGGAGCAGCAAATGCATAGATATATGCAATGTAACTTTCTCCAACCTCGTGTAGATTTCTTTCCTTTCCTTCTCATTCCTTCTCTCCCCCCCCCCTTTCCTTAGCAGCTTCATTTCCAAACTGTTAGTTAAACAACTGCTTATAGAGGATATAATATATGGGAAATAAATATATTGCATATAGGAGTTATTTATTAGCAACTTTGAAATTTGTTAAAACTTTCTTGAAATGTATTTCTTTTCTCCAGCTTCCACAAAATGATTCCATCCCACCTGAGCTGCTGGCAAAATATAATCCCAATGTCCTTCCCATTCATTGCTCTGCTAAGGTAAAACAGTTAATCCTATTCATGAAATGTGTTGTCTCTCAGATCTGTCTTAAAGACTGTCCTGGTAGTTCAAATACTACTGCTAGATTTGATCAGGCATTGGAATCACATCTGTTATTAGTGCTAAAAGACTGTGATAACTCCTGGCGTGTGTGCCTTAGCCATATCGAGTTCTCATCTGTTAACTATGGAAACTTTCTTGAGATGGAATTGAGGTGAGAAATAACTGTTGCCTTCACATTAGTCTTCAGAGGCATTGTGGTGACTGTCATATAAGAGCTGGAATCCAACTAGAGGTTACCCTACTGATTTGCTTCTCGGAGGTTCTCCTTTGGATGTATGCATCATCTAAGGCAGGGGACTTCAAACTTGACAGCTTTAAGACTTGTGGACTTCAACTCCCAGAATTCCTCCTCCAGTCATGTTAGCTTAGGAATTCTAGGAGTTGAAGTCCACAAGTCTTAAACTTGCCAAGTTTGAAGACCCTTGATCTAAAGTATAGAGGCCATAAAAAGACATTTTCTGGCATCAGATATGAGGAATATGGTTTCTGGGTTGGTATATAGGTAGCCCTGGCTTAGCTACCATTTGTTTATCAACCATTCGAAATTACGTAGTACTGAATGAATGCCAGTTATGATTGTTCCTTGAAGTTACAGCCAATGCTGTGCCCCTATGGTCACCTGATAAAAAAATTGGATGCTTGGCAGTCTGCCTACATTTATAAACTCAGTGTGTACTTCAACATGTAGAAAAGAATGGGGAAAAGCACTGACAGCAGATTACAGATCATTGGATGGCCTAGATGAATTCCCAAGACAATCATGAAAACATCTACAAAACAGCATGACATTTTTTATGAATAATATTCATCAGGGACTCGTAGTGCTCAGGTGCTTCAGAGTCCATAGGAGAGCAAAAGTAATACTTTTCTGCAGTGACATAAAAGAACAGTACTATCTTGGGAGAAGATGCAACTGCTTTAAGACATTGCTAGTTTGCTTCTTTGTGCTCTGCTATGCCAAATAATTCCATTTTATTAGTTATATATCCCTTTTGTAGGGTTACCTTAGAAAGCTAACTCAATTAAAAATCTACCAGTGGCTATTGATTTCTCTGTGACAAATCTATATTAAAATGCCTATTATAAGAATGCTTATCTATAACTTCCAATATTAGATTTTACCTTTGTAATGAAAACTCTGGGAAAATACCAAGAGATAGCTGTTGCCAACATGATGTACTTCTGGGTTTCCTAGAAGCTTACAGGTAGCCAAGAAAGCTGGGTGGCAGTTAAGGCTTTGATTTATCTAGTAGTTTCTTTCCATGCTTACATACAGCAGTATGCACAATGTTTTGAATTTGAATGGTTTTGAAGTTGAAAGATACAAATGGAGTAAAAGCAACACCCCTTCCCATTTTAGAGATATATTGCCTGGAAATTTCATTTAATGATAGCTAGCTTTTGAAATATTTATTCTGCATAATTTATTCTCAATAATTCTCCTTTTGAAAATAACCTATGTTCTGATGACACATTCACATTATCTGAATACATGGAGAGAAGGTTCTTACTTTGGTTCTATGACTAGCCAATTTTTGCATAAACTGCCCTTTTCTTTATCTACTTTGGATTTCATCTCCTAGCCAGGTATGCCTTCTAGGAGTTCAAGTCCAACAATTCTAGAAAGAATAAGATTGTAGGCATTAAGGAGTATAAGTTGATAGGGCTATCTGTGCACAATCAAAAACTAATGTTATATTTTAGGACTATTCATTCTAGATTTAATAGTCTTATTGGAGACCAGCTACGTTGCATTGAGAAGCTCATATATCTATACTGATCATGATTCTGGATTTATGCTCATTGTTAGTCTAAAAAATCTAGAATAATAGGGACTCTAATGGTACAAAAACCCATATTAGTTTCAGGTAGACATTCTCTTTGTTATGTGGGTAGATGTTTCTCACTTTTTTGTATCATCCATGTTATTGTAATGTGTGAAAAGTGTAAAATTTTAAGTATACAAACACTGTATCATGGAACCAATATTTTAAGGCAAATGTAGGGCATATTTTAAAGTTGATGGAGACATGACTATTTTAATTATCACAATTCACTAAAGGGTAATGGAAACATGCATAATTAGATGTTTACTCTGCTAGACAACAGTTCAAAGTAGAGCACAAGTCAAGAAAGATGGTTTTTTTAAAAAGTTTCATTTATCTCTTCAGAAACCAGAAGATTTGAACAAAATTGGCCCCGTGGAATACTATGGTTTTGGTGGCTATGGTGGCTTTCCTCTACAATACTACCCATATTATGGCAAGATCATTCAGCGAACATACCTTCAACCCCTTGTAGCAGTACAGTTCACTAATCTGACTACTGATATGGAGCTGCGTATTGAGTGCAAGGTCTATGGTCAAAATATTGACTACAGTGACAAAGATCGTTTCCAGGGACGTTTTGATGTCAAAATTCTGATAAAAAGCAGCTGATCACAAGCAGTTTGTTTTTTCTTTTTTCCTCTTAGCCATTTAAAAAGTATAAAAAGAGACAAAACTACTAGTCTTGAACAAAACTCATACATATGGGACCTACACATAATCTGTATGCTTTACACTAGCTTTCTGCATTTAAATAGATTAGAATGTAAACCTAAAAGTGTAGCAATAGTGACAAAGATATTTATTCTATTGTAAATGATGAAAAACAGAATTGAGCCTTGGGATACGCCCATTTCTACTGTAAATTATGATTCCATAACTGACTTGTAGTAAGCAGTGTTTCTGCCCCCTAAGTATTGCTGCCATGTGAATTTTATTTAGTGTACAGTACTTTAGGTGCATTATTCTGGTCATTTTTCAAGCCATGTATTATTGTACTGTTTTCTACTTTCTGTGAGCAGATTTGCTGCACAAGGTGTAAATACTCAGTGGGATTAAAACTGGCACAGTACTTTTTTTCATTTTTTAAAGATTTTTTTTTATCCTGCCTTTTTTTTTTCATATACAACTCAAGGCAGCAAACATACCTAATACTCCTTGCTCCTATTTTCCCCACAACAACATCCCTATGATATGAATTGGATTGAGAGTGCGACTGACCCAGTCACCCTTCCAGTTTTCATGCCTAAAGTGGGACTAGAACTCACAGCCCTTTGACTTCTAGATCAAAACCTTAACATCAAACAGGCTCTTTTGTTTTGAAAAGCTAAAGGCCCATCTGTGATTATTCAGTAGCACTCCATGAAGCCTCCCCCAATTTCTATTCCTCTGTAGTTACTAAATTTAGTGTGGTGGCAGGGAAAAATTACTTTAACTTTGTAACAAAGCTATGGAGAATAAGTGATTATGTACTGTGCTTTGTAGCAATTGGTGTCTTTTTCTTTCTCTTTCATCCTATGTTTTAAAATTGTGTGTAGACCTATGTCAGCCTATCAATTTCACTAGTGATAGAAATAATTATTTTGCTTTGTATATTCTCTTCTTTTCCTGTGAGAGGCATCACATGCTGTGGTGCTGTCTTTATTGAATGTTTTAACCATTTTCATGGTGGAAGAATTTTATATTTATGCAGTTGTACAATTTTTTTTCTGCAAGAAAAAGGTGTAATGTATAAAAATAAACCAAAGCCACATGTCTGAAAATAAATCTTTATTTTGAACTTTGAGAAGCAATGCAGTTATCCCATCAATTGGTGTTAAATGTTGTCTAAAGTGCAAAACTCTATGTTCTAATATATGTAATAGCCAGGAGTTCAGTGCTCTTGTGGGCCTTGTATTTCATTCAGGTTTAAACACTGGACAATAAATGAATAATCATACATTTCCCATTCTGCAGTTTGTTTTTTCTAAGCAGTTTTACTTCACAATGTTCTGTTAGCTGTCTAAAATACTGAAAAAGTATTGCACCTGCAAAAGAAACCAAAACAAGGTAATTGTATAGCATGCAACACACTGACAGAATCATAATTTGGTTCTAGCAAGCTGCCGTTCTATCCATCCTTTTCTAAGTTTGCTTATGGAAAAAAATGAAAAAAAAATGGCTGAAACCCATCACAAGTTCTACTTGAACACCGTAGAATTTATGGTTTTGATTCATAATAGTCTTGGAGAAATAGATTATTTTTAAAAAGTTTTATTATATATGGCTTCACATTTTATGCTAAACTGCACATGTGGGTAGTCCAGAGCCACATCAGATTTTTTAAGAGTCTGGTAGCAAACACAGCACGTGATTATGGGAAAAATCCCTATTTGTCCAATGGTCCCTCAAGGCTACCTCAACATTATATGAGAATACGTCAGAGTGGAGCAAAATTGTGTAAATATAGGATGACCACTTGAGAACCATAGCAACTACTCATATTCTTGCACTGTACTCTCTGAGCATTGTACCCATGATTAAATAGCAGGTAAGGGCAGATGCTTTATTACATGAAATAAAAAAATAACTCACTTTCCCCAATGTATTATCTTTCATAGTTCCAATACCCAACTGTTATGCTGCACTGCAATACAGAAGACTACAACAAGGACGTGAACTTTACATAAATCAGGCAAAAAGAGCCATCAAAAAGGTCATTGAGTAGATTGTAGAGAGGGACATGACTTGCTATGGAGAATCCTTAACTGGCAATGAAAGACAAAGTGCATGAAGGCAGAGATCCAATTTGCAAATCTCTGAATGGAAGGCCCTTTGTTTGGAGAAGAGTTGCTTTCTTTCCAGGAGAATGGCTATGTTTTTCATGAATAGCCAAACCATGGAAATAATTCTATATGTAGGCCATAGCAAAGACAGACTGAAGTGAAATGCCATTACAATTTTTTAAAAAATGTAATTATTTTGTCAAAAAACAGAAAAGGTCACTGCAGTAAGGCATCAGCCTTCCATCCTTTCGAGGTGGGTAAAATGAGGACCCAAATTGTTGGGGGCAATATGCTGACTCTGTAAACCACTTAGAGAGGGCTGCAAAGCACTATGAAGCGGTATATAAGTCTAAGTGCTATTGCTATGATGACAGAGCCTGAGGGTTGAAGTGATAACCAAAAACATTTTAAAATGCAATAATTAGAAGGATATAATAGTTACAGGGTCAATAACCTTGTTGAAAAAGAAGAACAAAAACTAATAAGGGTTAGGGCAGTAACAATTTAACTGGATGTCACAAGTTCAAATGCTCCTTAAGAAAGCATTTTCTTTCTTTCTAGGGAGGAGAGAAAACACAGTAACACACACATGCAATTCCAGAACAGTTGCCAAACTCATGCACAACTAAGACGACGACTAAGGCTAACACTTATTTAAATACTAGCAAGAGAGGATAGGTAATAGGATTCAAATCCTGAATAAAAATGAAAGAAGAATATTTGTTCTGTTTTGCCTTATTGCATGTGGACAGCTTCTCTGGAATTAGCATCTACTATTTCTTCAAAGAAGTTGAAAATAGGTCTGGTTAAAGTATTGATTCTATCAATAAAAGAAGGGTTGGTGAAACAGAAGGCAAATAGGCTATCAGCCACATATAAAAAACAAGTTTATTTCCCTAATCAAGGGATATTTGGATAAAGTACTCGGGTGCAGCACAGTAATACTAACCATAAGGTATCCTAGTTAGGAGTGGGAATGGAGGGAGGCATAAACGATATGATCCAGAGGAGGAGAAAAACATTTCCCAGCCCTGCTGAAAAAAACAAAGCTACTATACATTTTCCTATGATGAAAAGAGTTCTATTGTCAAGGAACTCCATTCCACAAATAGTGACCAAATTACTATAGGGAACATCTATAGGAACTGCCAAAATAATAGTATTTTATAACCTGGAGAGTTGAAACAGGGCCGGTTGTCTCAATCTTCTCATTAAGAAATCACAAGTCATCATATTTGGTAGCTGGTAATTGGAAGCATCCTATGCAGGATGACAGTACCTCTTTACATATTTTAATGCCGAGGGCAAACAACCAGATTCACAAATAATTCAATTACCATTTTATTGCTCAAGCCTAGGGACAATAATCTTCTCAGACTGACAGTTTGCACCTGTATAAGACTAGATAAGGTTCAACAGCATTCAAGGTGGTCAGACTTTGTCCCCTTGTGCCCACATAGGAATTCCAGACTAGTTCCCTGTTTGACCCTTCTGCCTGGTTTGGTCAGTCTCTCTCCAATACTTACCAGCTCCTATAGACTGTGAAATACCTTTTGTAAATCTGATTATCATCAGAAGAATAGACTTCTAATATATACTCCAATATATTTGGAAGTCATCAAATTGAGTTTAAAGCAATTACATTCAATTTTAAAATACATGCAGCTTCCTCTTTAAAAGAAATACTGTATGTTACCTTGAGTTTTATACAAATAGAAAAGCAGGATATGAATTTGATCAACAAATAAAAATGGGAGTTCTACTGAACTCTGACTTTCCAACAGCTATTTGCACTAATTCAGGAGTGGTAACCATGAAGAACTAGATGGGGCAAACCAAGCTCAATATAAATTTCAGTGTTACTGTTTATACAGAAGCAATTGACTCTATGATAATTCATTTGATAGGTCATCCTTTTCCCGAAGAAACAGGTTTGTGGAAGTTCTCCTGGACTCATAGTTACTACTAGAACCACAGGTAGAAGCCATGGAAAAAGGCAAAGCCTTTGCTTATCTTGATATGACATACCAGTTGTGTACCTAGCTGGATTGAGAATCTTTGGTAACCCTAGTATATGTTTTAATCATCATGCAGACGATATGTATCTGCCTTAAAACCAATCTAGGAAATGATATGAGGATTGATACCCAAATTAAATAGCAATTTTGCTGCATTGACACCCATATACTTGTCTACAGCTACAAAAAATCAGGGGACATTGACTCAAAGGTGAGTGTTTCATTATGGCCTCTACACTGTGAAATACCTTACTTACTTAGATCTTACTTACTGAACTCCGACGGTTATGAATATTCCCTCTTTAGACCGGTGTTCAATTTTTCTATAATTTGATTATTAATGCTGCTGTAGAGATTTTATGTTGGCCAGGCTTCAGCTGGGCTGGATTCTACTGGCATTTGAGTAAGGAGGTTGTTGATTGTTTTAATATTGTATTGTAAACTGCTTAGAGTCTTGGTAACATATAAATATGAAATCTGTAGTATGGGCCCTAAGGTAAGCTTGTAAATTGAACTTAACTCTTGGTGACTATATGGAAATATTTAAGTTTCTTCCTTTGCAGCAATACAAAACCTTTTTCCCAAAAATATTAAGGATTTTTAAAAATTCAACTCCCCAAGGTAGCCTACAAGCTCTCTGATTACTTGATAGATGCAAAATGCAGTCTCTTTCATCTTGCTTAGCTGAGGTCAACTAGGTTTTTCTACCTATTCTGATAGAAACAAAGAAAATGTTTCAACAATTTGGGGGAAAAGGAAGACCCTCAGTATATGGAGCCCAAAGTGGGGAGACCCATGCCATATACATTAGCAAATGCTGAATTAATCACAAGAATTGTGACATTTCTAGTAACTCTAATTTTAATCTCTTGTATGCAAACAAGGATTTTACTTATTTTTACTCCCTACTACCAAAATTAGAAATTATGATAAAGCATATGAAATAGTTGCATAAGCAAACATTATTTCTGCTGAATTGGCTGTTTTTACGTTTTTCTAAAAATCAAGTGCAATTTCCACCCCCCACTCCTCACTTAAACTACACAAAGCAGTTCACAATAAGGTATCAAAGTCAATATAAAACAAGAAGATGGCACTGTAATTACAACAACACAAATAGAAAAGCGGGGTGGAGGTGAAATGACACCAAATTCCATAATGAAATAGAAATCACCGAAGCAATTAGTGAAAACAACTGAATGGGGAAAAGTTTAATAGTAGGGATATTGAAAAAGGAGAGTTGGTCTGAATCTGACATTGCCTTCAACAGCCCCAAAAGCATTTTCTCTTCTGGAGACATAGAATTATACCGCTCGGTTTTAGCTCTTGATGAAAGGCTGTATTGCAACATCACCAGATGACTGGGAAATACAATGGCCTTGTTATTAATTATTTAAAGGCCTCTGAAAGGGGAAATGTGGTACGAAGGAAGAGCCCATGACAGACCGGGCATTGCTTCACTTCACATGATTGATTCTCTTGTTCTACTAATGAGAATGCACTGCTGAGGAAAGAAGAATAAATTCCAAATTGCTTGAAGACTCAGTTGCATACTTGCTCCCAAGTTAATATGTAACAGCACCCTTCAGCTGCAATCCTAGACCCACTTACCTGGGTGAGCATAAGCTTCACTGAATTCAGTGGAGCTTACATCTGAACAGACTCAGTACAGCACTAAAAGACCTTTGTTCAGGATATGACATAATGGAATGCTAGGCAAAGAAAGTGTAGGCTTTCAGCCAGTTGAAACTTTGTAGAGTTAATCATTTACACACTTCGTTATCTTTATATAAAAGAAAAGTGCAGGAAACAAACATGATTTCAATATTTCTTTTGATGTAGTTGAACTCAATGAATCTTCATTTTATATAAGACTTTAGAATCATCTTAATATTATGCCCAACAAAATTTAGGATTCTAGTTTAATCTGAAAAAGTCCTGTTGCCTGTCTAATTGATACACAGGGAAGGCTAGATCAAATATAATGCAAACAGATTTCTACTCATGCAGCAAGGAAAGAGTTTTGCTTCCTCGGCGCCCCCCCTAGTCTGCATACCTCCCCTTCAAATCTGTTCAAAATTAGAAGTGCTGCTCCGATAGTTCATTATGGAATGTGATATTCCCCTATTTCCCCTGTTGTAAGCAAGCCTTACAACATTTTGATTTACATGGAAAATTGTACAGTTTTTGGATTCAAACTATAATTTTAATTTAATCATGAATTTAAAAGGCTTTTCCCAAAAGATTTACAATTTCGCTTTGCAAGCCAGACTCTGCAGGATCAAACTACCTCAATATTTTGGCTTCAGTTCCCTGTTTTTCTATTGTAGGTCTTATATAGTACATGGTGACTTAGAAGTTGTACCCTACAGACTTCAACAGAAGTAATCTTCAGATATATATACAGAGCAAGCATGAGGAGCTTAACTTTCTTTCTTAACAGTAAAATAAGTGCCAATACTGATTAATGAAAGAATTTGGAAGATGCCTTTCCACAGTAAATACTGAAACTTAAATATCTCATTTGCTTTTCCAAAGGAACATAAAGGACTGGAGATATCTGACTGGTTGATATTTTTCTAACAAAGCTCCCTATTCTTCCACAAATATTACAATTCCTAGAGTCCCACATCTGGGGGTCTGAAGTGTTAAGTAGGTCTAAAACTCACCTACGTATATCAAAACCTCTTTGGAGAAGGATGATGTTGCATTTTGTGTTCATGTTTGTTGAGAATCACATAGACAGACAGCACTGTTATTAAAATGGCAAGAGGTTGCCACAGATCTCTCCCCACTGACACCTGCAGGTCCCCAAACTAACAAAGAACTGAGATCCAATAGAAGAAAATATACACTGCTCAAAAAAATAAAGGGAACACAAAAATAAGACATCCTAGATTTGAATGAATGAAATATTCTTATTAAATACTTTGTTCATTACATAGTTGAATGTGCTGACAACAAAATCACACAAAAATTATCAATGGAAATCAAATTTAGCAACCCATGGAGGTCTGGATTTGAAGTTACACTCAAAATTAAAGTAGGAAAAAACACTACAGGCTGATCCAACTTTGATGTAATGTCCTTAAAACAAGTCAAAATGAGGCTCAGTAGTGTGTGTGGCCTCCACATGCCTGTATGACCTCCCTACAACACCTGGGCATCTCCTGATAAGGTGGCGGATGGTCTCCTGAGGGATCTCCTCCCACACCTGGACTAAAGCATCCCCCAACTCCTGGACAGTCTGTGGTGCAATGTGGCATTGGTGGATGGAGCGAGACATGATGTCCCAGATGTGCTCAATTGGATTCAGGTCTGGGGAACGGGCGGGCCAGTCCATAGCATCAATGCCTTCGTCTTGCAGGAACCGCTGACACACTCCAGCCACATGAGGTCTACCATTGTCTTGCATTAGGAGGAACCCAGGGCCAACCG